CAAATTTGACAAAATTATACCTGAAACATTGATCACTTGGTGTCTTTAGTCCCGAAATGAAGAGTTTGTTTCTGAAATGCAATAAGTTCCAAAATTACAAAAATTGAGATAACAACATCATAGAGCAATAGCCCTGTACTTCTTACACATGGTGCAAAAATCCATTTTTAGAAATTCATACTACTATATGAGGTGTTTTTCATGGTCGAAGTTTGTGTTTTTCTATAAAATGCAATAGGCGCCCACATAGAGCAAGCTGATTTACTCAAAATGAGTAAAATGGATATATTGCATTATGGAAACAAACTCTTCAAACATTGATTTAGTGTTGTGGAAAGGAATGGCAGCATTACAGAGTGGTTAATACTTTACTGTCCCATCTTTTTTGAAATAAGTTGCCGGAATAAAAATTGAAATGTGCTTATTTTGAAAAAATGAGTAAAATTCATGTGGCGAAACATCAAGTAATGTCGTTCATCTGTTTTCAGTGTTATCCAGATCAAAAATAATTTCAACTCCCTGCTTTTATTTTTAAGTTTAATTTAACATACCATCCCAAACTCTTCTGAATTTGGATTTTGGGTCGTAAAAATGCCCATGTCATGGTCATCAGACTACTAAAAATAGTTAAATTTGGGTGACAATTTTTTTTTTTTTTTTACTTTACTCAGTAATATAAATTGTTAAATGACTTTGAAAGAGCCCAAAATTGACCAGTATAATGAACTGATATTCATAAAATGCACCTCATTTTGCTGACCTTTTTATGAAGGAATGATTAGCTTTAGATATGATTTTTTTTTCAAGGGTGGACGGATGGACAGCTGTCTAAATCGTGCATTGGCAAATTGCATGCCATTAATAGTTGTTTTCTCATTTATTTTACATGTGAGTGGGTGAGAACCAGAGGCTACTATCTAGCATTTGGTGAAAAATGAGCTCAGTGCGTATAGCGGCCTCTGACATTGCATTCTGTTTTTCTGCCAGAGGGTAATACAATGTAATTACTTTAGAAACTCTTAAGTGGCTGATCTGACATTCATTTCCATGTGAAACTAGGAATTGGAGGAACTTGACCCTATTAACGACAATCCAAGATGGCAGCCCCTCATGGATGACCTCGAGGCTCATCTGATTCCAAAAAAAATCGAGACTCGCGGACATCATTGATCAGTTTTATAAGGATAAGTATGATGCATCCTCAACTGAGGAATCTGAATCTGATGATAGCGCCCCCTTCTGACAAGGTTGAGTATAAAAACAAGATCCCAGCATTGTGAGGAGTAGATTTTGTACATTATTTTCATGCACATGGTAAGCTCATAGGTGCAGTAACTCAATAACAAATAGTCAATGGATTTTGGAGAAAGACAATGTGAAATTAGCATTTTCTAGTTTCAGCATTCTGGTACACAGCTGTTGGAAGTCGCTGATTTACCTGTGTTTGATTTTTATGCTCTAAGTCCAAGAGATATGTATTCTTTTTGACTGCATTTTTTCTGTCCAGCCAGAGCCAGATTGTTTATTGTCATCCTAGCACCATGCTTTTAAATAACTTTTCACATCAAAATTGTTCAGGATTCACTTCATTAGCAGGGCTTGGCAGATCCATTGGAAGGCATTGCCAGCTGCTCTAAATGGTTGCTGCAAACCTGCAATTATAATTATAATAACAACAATAATATATACTCTCAGCCACAGTTCCTTACTTTGCCAGATTTGACGGTGCCAGAATCAATCTCAAAGAACTGTCAAAATCACATTTTTGAGTAATTTTGTGGAAGCTTTAATTCATAAATATTTAACATCAGTCACAAGGTCTTTTAACCAGAAATATCAACAATCTGGAAAACATTTTAATTGACAGAATGCATTTTGAACCTGTTTTTCTCAGACCTTCAATTTGTGGGTTAGTAGACTCTGGTTCTCACCCACACATGTCATCCTTATTACTTTTTTTTTTCTTTTTCCTGGAGTGGAGCTGCCAAGTTTATTTCCTTTCCAAATGCTGGATATCACTTCCAGGAAAGCGATTCTGAAGCTGGAGTCACAGAGTTGAAGTGTGGCTTTTGATTTCCATGGTCTTGGCTTTACCATCACAGTTCAACTCATTTTCATCCCGACTCGTCATGTAGGGACGTTTCCTGAACAAGCGTTGATATACGTCGAAAAAGGGGGCTTTTGGCATCCATATTTGTTGTTTAGGGTTTGGGATCAGGTTAAGGATTAGGGGTTAGGGCAGAGGTGGACAACGAGGGCCGTATCTGTCCCTGGTTTTCACACCAACTTCTGGCCTTTAATTAGTTGATTGTCTAAATTAGCCAAACCATTTATGAAATCTGACATTTCAGGCACACTTCTTTAACCCTTCTATAATCCTCAGATATTACTAACACATTTTACCCTTGAGGTCAATCTGACCCCAGGGATATTTGCCTTCAGAAAATGATTTACATAAAATTGTTGACCAAGTTTTTGTGTCAGGCACTTTGTTTATTTGTTGAATACATAAATAACCCCTTGATAATGAAACTTATCAGTGAGTTGACCTGTCCTCTAGCGCCACCATCAGGCCAAACTTTTAAATTAGAATTTATATATCTTGAAAAGTTTTCATACAAGTCTTCTCAAATTTACTGACAACATTATTGGCCACAAGAGGATGAAGCCTATTGGTTTTAGTGATGATATGACCTTTCCTGTAGTGCCACCATCAGGTCAAAATTCAGTTTTAGAGTTAATGTATCTTGAAAATCTTTCATCGAAATCTTTTCTAATTTGGGGTGCACATTCATGACTCTCACAGAATGAACTATATTGATTGATGTTGGTGACTCCCCCCCCCTTTCCTCTCATAAACATATTTATTTACTGTTTTAAACTTTTTTTTTTATATATATAATATTAGCAGCGCTAAGTCTACCCCGCTGTTGAAGTGGGGAAAGGGACCATATTATCTTCCCATTTTTGGAAGGGATGGTGTCTGCTGGTGGTTGAGAGACAACAGGAGGGTCAACACTCTCATTCTGATCAGATGAGAATGCCTCAAAATCAGGGTCCTCCTCAACACAATCCTCTGTCTCAGACACATTCTCCTCTATGTCACTTTCACTGTCAAAGAGCTGTTCCAAAACCTCATGGACAGTAAACCTTTAAATGTTTGCTCCTCCCTTATTTTGCATGAACTACCAATGTTCTTGCGGGAATACCCCGCCCTCCACAGCGCGGGAAATATCAGTTCTACTTCGGCAGGTGTGAGTACAGTAGGTCACACATACACACACAGACACACACACGCACGCATTCATGCCCATGGTGCGGGAAAGTTCTCATGAGAATATTGTTTCCCCCTCCCCCATGTCACGTTAGCACCAAAAATGGAAAATTATGGTCCCTCTACTCACTTCAACAACAAGGTAGACGTGCTGCTAAGAGTGTCCCACCAGACAGGCAGTCAGCCATGTTGAAGACATAGAGTCATTATTCGAGCTCTTCATATAACCATCGTTTGAAAATATTGTACTTGAGATGATAATTTTACAGGGGAGGCTTGTGTAGTTAGAAAGACTTGGATGTGAGCAGCTCTCAAGCCTACATTGGCTTCCTCATTTTGGCAGGGGTTCACAAGTCAATTTGTTTCCCACATGCCCACACCACGAGAAGTATCAAAGTTCTCGAGGGAATAGTTGTTTTCCCCACCCCCCTGTCATGAATCAACTCAAAAGTATCAACTCTGCACCTGCAGGTGTGAGGATGTTAGGTCACACACAGACAGACAAGTTTTATACAGCTAAAACAGCTTGGGGTCAAATTGACCCCAGAGGAACACTAATGCGTGCAATATGTGTTCAGCACATTGAAAAAATATCATCATGATAATTTTATGCTTAATCAGTTGTCCCCATCAAATTAGGAAAAGTCATGAAATATGAATCAAAAAAAAAAAAAAAAAGTCAACTATTATTTTTTGAATGATAAACATTGAATGGGGTCAAATTGACCCCAAGGATAATAGGAGAGTTAAATTATCACGAATGACCACCAAAGACTGTTCTCGTCTCCCTTCATAAAATATTTTTCTTTGATCTAATCATCGGACAATTCTATATTTGTGTATGCAACCAATTAAGTCAATTAGTCGGGGTAATTGATAAAAATAAAAACCTGCTTACACACCGGCCCTCCGGGTGTGTATGCAGCTTATCAGGTGAGCACAGATTCTAATATTGATGTCTTGATAAATTTATTTGATGTCGCTTTTTCACTTTTTTGGTCATATATGTATATATTTATTCCATAAATGATGAAAAATTGGTGCGATACAACCCATGAGATACAGGTTTGGTATTACACACGTGTAATACAACTTTCCCACATCGCAACTGGTCAGACTCCGTTCAGTAGCATGGTAATGTTACAAATCATTCTGCTGGTAACCGCCCATACAGAAAGGAAATATATTTAAAATATATTTATTTTGGCCACAATGCATTTAAAAGACATTTAGAATGCAAGGTACCTCTAGATTACATTTTGAGGATGCATGTGATGCCATGAAAAAATTTATATTTGTCTCTAAAAATGTATTCCAACCTAAGGAGCTGTAACCCAAAATGCATTTTATCAAAAAATATGCCAATGAAATCTTTTATAATGTTGAAAAAATTACCAATGCATTTCACATAAGTAGCATATGTAAACACAAATGCACATCAACTTCAATCCAGCCAGAAAATATGGTTAGATTTGACAAATAAATTAGACAACGTTGAATTTTTCATTTCAGTGTATTTAGCGCTTCAAGAAATGCATACTGATAGGTCAGTGCATAATATCACTGACATAGGTGCAACCAATGAATTCAAACTTGGAGAGCTGAGATTTAGAAATAGACCTTTTACTGTTTACTATGACTGAGACTTTGTATTTTTCTATAATGCAATTGAAAAAGATCTGCCTCATTTCTGAAAGGCATATTTAACATATTTATTTATAAAATATTTGGGGTAGCTCAGGTGGCAGAGCTGCTGGTCTAGGAATCCGAGGGTTCCTGGTTTGATCCCCGGCTCCTCCACGAAAGACGTCAAACTGTCCTTGAACAAGACGTTGAGTCCCACACTGCTCCTGATGTGCAGGTTGGCACCTTGCATGGCAGCCTCTGCCATCAGGGAAAATGTGAGACATAATTGTAAAGTGCTTTGTGTCATGTGACCAGAAAGGAACTATATAAATGCAGTCCATTTATCATTCATTAAAATGTATGAAACAGTCTGTTTTTACATATTTGAAATGCATTTCACAATGCATTTTGAAATATATTCTAAATATATCTCAAATATATTTTCATCCCTGTGGGAAAATGTGTAAGAAATGTATTTCAAATGAATTGATAATATATTAAAATATATTTATTAAAATTTGTGAAGGGAGTATAGTTTTTACATATTTGAAATGTATGTTCTAAATGTATCTCAAATGTATTTTCTTTCAATATGGGCACTGACCATCGCTATCATTAGTTTCTAGTTTGCGGTTTATTCAAGTCAATGGGATACATAATTTGCTAGTTAGCATGCTAACACCTTTTCCATTAAAGTAAGAAGTTATATGAGTGACTGTTATCGTAGAAACTCTGATTAATGAACTTAATGGCAGAAAGTGTTAGCATGCTAGCTAGATAATTATTCATCCCATTGACTTGAATAGACCGCCAAATAGAAGCTAACGCTTTTCCTTAATTTTCCACATAACATGATGCTGAAATTTATGGGATAAATAGGATCTCATATTCATTAACCCAAGATATTAAATTTATGAAACCTGAGTCCTCAGTCCTCAGAGAACTATCTTTCTTTCCTGGGAAAATTTGTGTTAATTGCCTTATAAGTACTGCAGCTGAGTGATGGCACTAGCAGTTTGGGATAACTGCAATGGAAAGTCTATATGGGGATTGTATGTCTTAAAAACGTTTTGCTTCGCAAAGACTTGTTTTGAGCATGAGGCCAGGTTCAGTGGACATACATCCACCCAACCACATTTTACAGTAGGTACTCAGTTGAAAGGGGAGCCATGCGTGGTGGCTTTTGCACCAAAACCACTGTGTGAGCCATGTTTAATCTTTTTTTATCAGTTACTTAAGGAATAAGTGGTCGGGTTGTTGATAACAAAAACTTTTAAATATTATTGTCAACATATTTGGCAACACCCTATCCACAGTCCCAGTCAGAGTTGAAAAACATGCCACCCTGCACAGTTTGGGAACTTTGGGAAAGAAAGTTTAAAAGTTTTTCATTAGCTGAAATGGCTTTCTCTCACAACTTTAAATGAAGCAGGAAAGTACAATTATTGATTCCAACACCCTGTGGCTTTAAATACCTAATGATGTGTATATTAAATGCTGCAAAAAGAAGTTACAAACATGGGCGGGTCACATTTTTGCGATGGTAACACAAGAGGATGATTAAAACTATTGATGCACTGCATGCCTTTCGGGCTTGTCCAATGTTGGGCTCAGTAGAGGGCGGGAGGTACTGAGGGATCCCTTCAAATTGTGTATATGGCACAAGAAGGTGGCTTTTGTTCCCATTGTTGCCTGATATAGGACCTCAGTTAGTCAATAGTCCAGGGACCTGTTTCACGAAGACCTCGCAAATTCTGCGAAAACGCAAAGTCCTCTCATCGCTGATTTTGTGATTCACAAAGACTGCGCATCACTTACAGGTCGCAAAGAGCTCGCTGAAATCGGTAAATCGCAATCACATCACCAAGCCCCCGCTAGATTTTGGCGCGATTTCACAAAGCCCTCGTCAAATTTGGGCAATTGCGATCAAAACGCTATCCCCACACAAACATGATTGCCAACAAGAATTAAAAGAGGGGTATTTCAATGAACAGCATCAACAAATACCAAATATCACTGGTTGTATTGATGGCAGCCTTATTGTCAGAAAGAGACTGTCCCAAAATGAAGACATTTTAATTTGTGGCAAGATGTAACCTACCATGCGATTAATGGACAAGGGATTAGCGATCATGGGCTCAAATTCATCAATTTTGTCGCCAACAGCGACCACGAGCCCATCTATGCTTGGGTTGATCCGAGTTGTGTAGGCCTGTTGCAGGTAGGCTACACTATCTGCATCACTTAAATGAACGCATTAAATGGGCGTGATGTTACAACACATTCTCATCCCGAGTCGTCATATAGTGAGGCTACCTGACCAAGCATTGATATACAACGCAAAAGGAAGCTTTTGGCGTCTTTTAGTAATAATTTTTTCCAGTGTCTCTGCTGGGTTTGTTTTGACTTTTTGGCCTAATGATTGGTCGCTTCAATAGCAGTGACAGCTCCTTTCATTTTCATAATGAAAGTTAGCAGCAACTGATGCCATTGAAAGCTAGACGAGACTACCACTGGTTTTTATTTGTTTATAAATGTTTTATTTTAAATCCCTCTTTATTTAGCTAGTCTTCTTACGCGGTGAGTGGGTTGCCATGGGACACGGTCACAGGACTCATTGTGTCTGAATGTTCCTCGTGTCAGAACGGAGCTCGGTAAGACAGCTTTTTATTATAATGTCCCACATACCTGGAATCAGTTACAAGTTAATCTGAAACTGAATGAACTGGTTCCTTTTGGACATTTTAAAACTTTGATCAAATCATTTTATCAAGAGTATTGTTGTTGTTTTAATTTATGTTTTCCCTTTAATAATGGCATTGTCTTATCTATAATTTTTTTCTTCTTCTTGATACTACAAATGTCCTTGTAAACTGTGTTATTTTAACTGTTTGTAATGCAGGGCCCTGCTGAAAAGGAGACATGGTCTCAGTCAGGCTCCCTGCTTAAATAAATATGAATAAAGAAATAAATAAATAAATAAATAAAATGCCAAATGCAAATTCCACACCTGAAATCAACACCACGGGCTCTAATTTCTTGGCGCAGCGCAGGGTGGCGCAGGGTGGCGCAGCCCACGCAGTGGTAATTTCGTCCAGTGCAGCCTGCGCAGTGGTAATTTCGTGCGGTGCAACACCGTGGCAATTTGTGGCACCGTGGCAATTTGGTAGACGGACTTGAGCCGAGATGGGTGTAGCGGCGTAGTAGGGGGAGGTGTCACATATTCGTCATGACGCAGTGACAATTTCATGGATAAAGGCTCCACCGAAAGTGTGCAGAGAGCTCGCCAGCTCCAACCTGGTTTACTTTCTGTGCAGTGGTAATTTGGCTGACCGGCGCACAGTGCGCACACGTCATCGAAACCTCACAGGCAGGTTTCCAGAATGTCAGGCACATTTCAATGCAATAAAAAGTTACAGCAACCACCATTTAATGTAACTATCTGAATCAGCACATAAATTATAGTATCTATATCGATTGTCCTGATGTCAGATCAAAGAGAGAGATAGAGAGAGAGATGTGTGCATGTGGGCGCGTGAGTGCGTGTGTAGGCTATGTGGGTATGTGTCCTTCAGCTGCTTTTAAGATCGGACGCAAAAAGCGAATTTTTTCACGACTGATTACATTCAAAGTCAATGCAAAGACGCGAATACACGCGTGTATTCGCGTCTTTGCATTGACTTTGAATGTAACCTGTCGTGCAAAAAATTCGTTTCGCGTCCAGTGTGCAAGTGGCTTAATACTATAATTTTCACTTAGGTTTTATCGTTTTTAGTGGGGGAAAGGAATACAGCCTGATTGCTATGATCTCATACTGAGTTAAGATCACATATTGAAAATAAATGTGTAACATATCTTGCATTGTTGTCTATGCATGTTAATCCCAAAATTTTAAGCAGCAACAGGTTGTAATAATAGGAACATGCTATCCATCGTTTCTCTTCCCAATGATGCGGGCAGAGGAAATAAATGAGCAACCGTCATATTTCATTCCAACTTCATAAGTTTGAATGATCTGACGTAGTTTCGTTTTGAAATTCCATTCAAGTTCGCTAATGGTAATGATTCACGAATGCCCTAGCTAGCCAGCTAACTCATATTCGTAATGCTTAATATAGACGTAAGCAGTGCAGAAACCATGCCTGAAGCAGCAAAGTAAAATGCAACATTAACGCATCATGCAGATATAGGACAGAGGCTTCTTTAAAGGTGAGGAGAGGATCTCATTTGATAGGTGAAGATTTGACTTGGCTGTGTTAAACCCACTCACGCCTTCTCTCCTCCCTCTTTGCCACTTGCGCCGGCAGGAGGGACAGAGGCGGGACAGAGGAGTACTTGCGCCGGGCTGCTCCGGGCACGAAATTGCAAAATACGCCTGGATACACCCCGTTGGCGCGGCGCTCTCCCCATTCGCCGCACCTGCGCCGTGCCTGGTCAATGAATTTAGAGCCCTATATGTTTTATCTGATCATTTGTAAATGAAAGGCTGTCTGAAGATCATGTTCATAGCCATGAAACAGCTGAGCTGTCAAGTGTCCAAATCCTTTCTGTCTCGTAAAAAGGCTGGGGACACATAATATGTGCATAGAATTTGGCATTTTTACTTTGCTCACCTGGTTTTGATGTTAATGCCCTCAAATTTAAGCTGAAAGCCTTTAATAAAACTTACATTCATTATTTAATTTCAACCCCAATACCCCGTGGTCAACATCTAAAATAACAACAACATTGTCTATGTCCAAAAACTTGTGGACCTGACTTTATGAGCAGTTTACTGAAATGTTCCATGAGAGAAAGTTTTTGTTTTAATCAAAGTAGTTTTCCGCACTGAAATTTTCCAATATCTATCCAATTAACCATGTTTTGTGTTATAATATCAATTTAATATCAGTGACATGACTGGTAATATATCAGTCAAATGTTTCAATGGGCTCTAAATTCGCAGACCAGGCGCAGGCGCAGCGTAGGCGCGGCGAATGGGGGGTGCGCCGCGCCAACGGGGTGTGTCCAGGTGTATGTTGCAATTTCGTGCCCGGTGCAGCCTGGCGCAAGTGCTCCTCTGTCCCACCTCGGTCCCTCCTGCCGGCGCAAGTGGGAAAGAGGGAGGAGATAAGGCCTGGGTTTAACACAGCCGAGTCAAATCTTCACCAATCAAATGAGCTCCTCTCCGCACC